CCGTGCTCGAAAATGACCGCGCCAGGCTCTACCGAGACCGGGCCATCATCACAGACAGGACTATTCTTGCAAATAAGCCTGATATTGTGCTGATGGACCGGGCACAGTCAAGGATATTTTTGGTCGACATTACCATTCCGTATGACGAGAACCTCGTGAAAGCCGAAACAGATAAGCGAACAAAATATCTGGACCTGGCTCACGAGGTGACCGACATGTGGGGTGGTTGGCCGACCGAAATTATTCCTGTAGTCGTCTCTGCGAATGGGCTAATCCCAGTCAGCCTCTCGGGTCATCTGAGGTGACTGGGACTCCGTGACGGACCGCTCCGGGCTCAAATGCAGAAGGCAGTGGTCCTCGATACCGCCCGCATCGTCCGTCAGTTTCTTTCCCTTTCCCCCCTAACCCTCGGCCGTTTGGTCTCCCCTGCCGAGGGCTTCCATCTGGTTGGATCTTTATTTATTTGTGTATTTTTTGTATTTATTTTATTTTATTGATATTTATATATATTTATCTTTTCATTTTAATTTATAATTATATATTTATAGAAACCAACCAGATGAGAAAACTATACAGATACCCAGATAATAATAATAATAAAGCTTTATTTAATTCCATGCATAGTACATATTAAACGATACATTTCTTAACTTGTTTCCCTATAACATTCAATTACATTTGTATACTTATTATTTTAGTTAGTTATATATAGTAATTAGTTTAATTTTTTTTAATTATTATTTGCTTCAATTATCAACTACCTAATTATTTAATGCATGGAAGCCGTTCGGGTAAAAGCCTCCCCCAAGGTATGCCACCCTTCTTTGTCAATAGCTCTGTCTAGCCACCTACCACCCGCGCACGCTACAATTTCATCTGCCCATCTGGCCTTTGGTCGACCTCTTGATCTGGTGCCTTTTGGCCCAGACCACTTTACTGCCCGTAGAGTCCATCTATCGTCCTTATAACGGGCTACGTGACCCGCCCATTTCCATTTGGACTTCATTGCAAAAGTTAAGGCATCGCATACTTTGGTCTTCTTTCGAATGTCAACGTTCTTTACCTTATCCTTCAATTTTAAACCTAGGCAACTTCTTTACATTCTTCTCTGGGTAGTCTGAATTTTGTTCCTGGTCTTGAGATCGAAAGTCCAAGTTTGGCATCCATAGGTGAGGCACGGTAGAAGACCAGTATCCATGACTATTTTTTTGGTCGGTAGCGGAAGTATCGATTTTAGTATTCCTTTATGGTGCCAGAACTTGTTCCAGGTAATTGCCACTCTTCGGTTAAGTTCCTCAGTATTTCTATCCTTACTAAAGGAGATTTGTTTTCCTAAGTATATGTATTGATTAACAAACTCGAGAGGTGTGTTATTTATTAAAATGGACATTGCACTGCGGTTAGACATAATTTTCGTTTTTTCCAGATTCATTTCTAAACCAGCTGTTATACTAGCCTGGTTTAATTCATTTACTATTTTGTTTATTTGGTGAGAGGTATCCGAAAATAAAATTATGTCATCGGCAAATCTGAGATGACTTAAAAAATTTCTATTTATATTAATACCATGATTGAACATGGCAGCTCTCCCATTACGTGTTGTAAGACGGCTATGAATAATTTTGGTGAGATTGGGTCTCCTTGCCGGACACCTCTCTTTATGTTGATTTCTTGGCCTACTCTATCTAGTTTGACTCTACTTGTGCTGTTGTGGCGGGTGGTATTTAAAATAAGGCAACAACCAGTCATAAAAAAAAATTATATATTGGTAAAAGAAAAGGTCGTGGGCGTGGTTCCGATAATTTAAAAAAAAATGCCCGTCTGGCTTCACTGGCAGGGTCAGGTACTCCCCTATGTGGCCGCGAGGTGGTCGAGCAGGGCCGGGGGGTTGGACTGTTCACGGGGAGCGCCGTGGGCAGCTGGCTGTGGCGGTGGCGGCGTCGAGGGGAGGCCTAGGCCCTCTTAAGAAGGACGACCGCCACGGTTGTAGTCGTAAAATTGCACCCTGGAAACAACGTCGTCCACATTTAGGTCCAGGTAATAAAATGCCGCCGATTATGAACCCCCGGTATATCGCAGGCTAGCAGTAGATGGGAGCACAGAGAGTAGCTGGCGGGTGTTCATAATCAGAACGGAGTTACAAGGCGGAATGGAAGGCAAGCGTCATAGCGGTGAGGCGCAAATTAAAATACACATGAATTAAAATTACGGCAAGTGTAAAATACTGTTTAAATGTACCAGGATAACTAATTTAGGCTGTGCATTGGTTGAAACATGATGGTGACTTGCGATATTTGATCGCGGTGCGAAATGTATGAGACGCCATTTTGTAACGGTACTTTTGCCAACGCGCACAGCGGCTACATACATTACTTACATGCAAATAACACTAATAACGTGGCAATTAAATAGCTAAAAGCAAACAGCCTGGCATGATCACATTACACTACCTATAAAACACTTTCACTACTTAAAACTAGGTAACGTTTCAACACTTACCCTTACGGGGTGCAAGACGATACGGAGGTCTCGGTGACGAAAATTAACGAAAAAACTATACGGCCACAGTGCCGGAATTATTATATTATTTTAAACTTTTTCCAAAATGTGGATTAAAATTTGCAAGCGCGTACGAGGACACAAAGCAGAGCTTGTGAACGCGGCTGCAGTGGTAGTGTGCGCCTCCCAGGGCGCTCGGGGGAAATCAAACATATTCGGAGAATGGTCGGGAGCGCGACGCCGTGGAATAATACCGGCCGGGTAAAACTCTGACGCGAGAGTTGCAAGGCGCATAGAGTAACGAAGCGTCAGAGTGTTTGTTCGAAATACAATATTTTAATATTTGATTTATTATTTAATTCGTTCTTTTAGTTTACTGATTTGTTTTATTAATAGGATACCTAAGTTAATTATAGAATTATTTTTGTTAATAACTTTTAATTTATTTTTATTTAGTTTATTAAATGTTTATTTAATTTTAATAAACCGTTTAATTATAATTATGCATACATGTACGTCCAACGTTACACTGTTAGAATAAATATTTTTTAAGATATTGATATACTTTTTATTTGTGTTTATTGCTTTCAACGATTCCCAGATGCTTTCGTGTGAAATTGAATCAAAAGCTTTTAAGTAGTCTATGAAAGCTAAATACAGGGGTTTATTAAATTCTAAATATTTTTCTATCACCTGGTCAACCACTTGGATATGATCCATCGTGCTGAAACCGCTTCTGAAACCGGCTTGTTCGATCGGTTGGTGAGCATCAATGGCTGGGGCTATCCTTTCCAGTAGACAGGAGGCAAAAAGTTTAATAAAACAAGGCATTAGGCTTATAGGACGATAGTTGCCTATATCAGCTGGGTCACCTTTTTTATATAGTAGTATAATTTCCGATGTCATCCATTGATGTGGCACAGCTTCTTCATCAAGTATTTTATTCCATAGGATAGTGATTGGTGTCAGTAGTAGAGTTTTCGCAACCTTGATACATTCGTTGGTGATTCCATCTGTTCCTGGGCTTTTTTCTGGCTTAAGTCTCATTATTTGTTTCAATATTTCATTTTCTGTAAACTGGTGTATCGGAGAGGTATCTATGTAGCTATAGGAAACCATGTTTTGATTTTGTGTGTCTGAATGTCTGTATAGATTAGCGTAGAAGTCAGTAGCAGCATTTATGATTTCTGTGCGAGATTTGCAATTGTTGTTGCCCGACTTGAGAAAAGGAACCCATGTTTTGGCTTGATTTAGCTCTTTATAAGCTTTTTTGGCAGATCTAGTATTATTGAGGTGTCTTTGTTGTTGTTCTGTAGGTAACGTAGCACCTTTTTATTTCTTTGTTGGTAAGTTTGTACAAAGTTTTTAGTTTTTCTTTATCAGCTACGCTTAATTGGGGCCTATTTTGTAGTTCGCTTCTTTCTTTCATGAGTTCTAGCGCTTTCGCGGATAGGATTTTGTTCTTATTTGTTCCTTTTATATTTTTTAGTCTTATCTTGATACCGTGCATGATTTGTTGATAGTATTCCTCCGCATTATAATTGTTTTGATTCTTTATAAGTTCTGGTATAAAGCGGTGGAGGTTTGTAAGGTGCAATTCCTGCTCTGCTAGAGTTTTTAGCTTAGTAGAAGTATTTGAGAAATTGCGCCTACTTTTTTTTGTTGAATTTAGGTGTATTGTTGCTCTTAGTAGTCTGTGGTTCGATCCAAAAGAGAAAGATGGTAGTACTTCATATTTGGAGATCATGTGGTGCTTCGTGGTCATGATATAGTCAATTTCATTTCTTGTGTTTTATCTGGAGAGATCCATGTCCAGCGGTTTTTGGTTTTAGTTTGAACATTGTATTCAAAATTTTCAGGTTGTACTTTTGCGCGTATTGAATCAGTCTCGTGCCTCGGGCGCTTCTAATGCCGTAACCATACTCTCCTGTAGTGGGACGTTCGTACTTTTCTGGAATTCCGATTTGAGCATTCAAATCACCTATAGAAAATACGTACTCAGTAGATGTGGAATCATGAGCTTTCGCTAAGTCCTCGTAAAAATTGTCAATTTCTTCATGTGATGACTTTTCAGTGGGAGCGTGCGCTTGGATTACTGCAAAACTCAAGTTTTCCATTTTGATTTCCAGTACGCACACTCTTTCGGATATTCCAGTAAATTTTATGATGTTATCTTTGTGCTTCTTTCTTACTAGAAAACCTACTCCATATAGTACTTTTGTTTGGCCAATGTAGTAGAAGATGTATTCGTCGTCTTCGATTGTCTTTTCTCCTAGGCGGCGAACGTCGCTCAAACCTATTGCTTCATGCTTAATATCTTCTAGCGCAGCTTTGAGCTCAATATATTTTTGGTCAGATGATAGAGATCTTACGTTGAGGGTGCAAATGTAGACGGTATTTTTTATTTTGATAGTGGTTCTTGGGGGGTTTTGGTCGAACTCTCCCGCGGTGACCGGCCGTACTGGGAGATTAAGGGTTGGAAGAGGGTCCGATTTTGATTGCTATTCTGTGTTGTAGTCTGATGTCTTCGATTGGCGTTGAGTTGATTCTGTATGAGCGAGGATTAGTTTGGGCTTTTGTGTTATATAGTTCTTCATGTCCCCTTTATTTTTCTTAAGTGGTTGTTTACTAGTCTGTTGAACATTTTGGTTAACAGGGTGGAGCTTCTCCGGGGACTCTGATAGGTTTCTTTTGCTTGACTGTTTCTGTGGGGGGTTTTTGTTGGTCAGTATAATAATTTTGTCGTATTTTATAAAAGCGGTGTTTCCTGCATCTTTTTCTTTCTGTAGTTGGACTTGTAGCTCTTTACGCTTAATTAAGACTTCGAATGGGTAGTCTTCTTTTAAGTAATAGGAAGTGTTTTGAAGGTTATGTTTGTTTTTTTGTATATTTAATTTGAAACCTAAAGTATTGAATGTAATTACTATCGGTCGAACTTTTTTACCCTTTATACCTAATCTTCTAACAGCTTCTATGTTGTAAGTGTCCCATGAAATTTTTATGTACGTATTTATTATATTTATTACCATTTTTTGCAGTTCGTCGTACGATTTTTCTGTCTCTTCAACGCCAAAAAGAATCAGATTTTTACGTCTACACTGTCTTTCTAGGTTGTTAATTTTATTAGATTGTTCTTTAATTTTTTTCTCCAAAAGCTCATTTTTCAGTTCTAAGTTATTGAACTTCTCCCTGAGGCTGTTAATTATTGTTTTTGCTGCTTTATATCTTGCCGCATGCTAATTAACATATTTTTTATTTCATCCATATTTGGTTATATTTAGTTCGCTTATTTCCCTTAGTGCCCTCTATGGGAACAGGTAAGTACTTGTTTACTTAGTAGCGCTCGAGTTGTCTAAGTGTATTAAGAGGTGTCCTAAATGTTGTGAGATATCAGAATGCGCGTCGAGCTAGGACCTGATATATCATAATAGATGGCGCTGTTAGATACCTTGATCGATGATTTAAAAACAGAGATGTTTACTATGATTACATAGCACTTTTGAGTTTATAGTTCTTGATGCTTTCGGTTTACTCACAGTTTTAATATAATTCAAGTTCCAGTTTTGTTGTACTCATGCTACACTAATAATTTTTCACTTGAATAATTATATGTTCTTGGTATCTTAACGGCAGAGGCATTTGTAGAACGATTTTATGCATTTTTGATAAATTTTATTGTATATGCACTATGTTTTATATATTGTTCAAATTAGTTTATGCACTAATTTTATATTTTGATTGTATTACTTTGTTTTGGAACACACAAATAATTTTAAAACTTATTTAATAGCGAGTACAATGTTGACAGTGTCGCTGTGGCGCCCTCTCTCCTTAATATTATAATTTCATATACATTTAGTAAAATGCTTTTATTTTGACATTACAAACAGTTACTTCAATTTTATTTATTTGTATAGATTAAATTTAGATTTTATTTTTACTGTCCTTCACCATCATACACCATTGTGTATTAAAAGTTTGAACTTTAATACTGAAATAGGCGCATACCGATTTTTCCCCAATTATTATTTATTCGCAAAACATTACCGTGCACGGATTCATTAATATTCAGGTGGACTTCACTCGGATGTTTTTCCGAGCTTCTTCACTGGTTCATACGGGTACATAACAAACCTCTATTATATATTCATTGCGGGATGCGATGTAATCATGAAAGTGTGTCGATGAAAATTGTAAGCAATGCATGTCAAAAATTGTATCTATATATCTTGCGTATAAATGAAATTGAAGTGTCTGTATGTTTTTAAAATAACTTATTTAGATAGTTATTTACATGCTATTAAAGTATAAACAACATTAAAAAAAATTGTTTTCCTGTTTTATTTTCCTGGTTTTATTTAAATTTTATTTTCCTGGGCTAATCTTCAGAATGATTGAACCGATTGTGATGAAACTTTACCATCAAATAGAAATCAATGCCAGAAATTATCTCAGCAATATTTATCTGAAAAACTTGGATATTTAAAAAACAAAAAATATCTTAATTCTAAATAACGCTGTAGATAGATCCTGTCCAAGCGAAAACAGCCGCGGTAGTTGGCTAGTTTGAAATAAAATATATGTCATATCATCTCGTGCAGCGTGCATCAGACGTTACACTAGCGAGTTGGTAAACGTAGTTTTCTATTTTTATCTTTATTAGAAAGATGCTGCTGCCTATCTCCTGTCATTAAGTTCCTTACAAAAAACAAAACGCCGACAGAAATATTTGAGGAGATGTCGACTGTTTGCGGGGAGTCTGCACCTTTATTTGCTAGCGTAAAACTTTGGAGCCGAAAATTAAAGCATGGCAGGAACTGGCTAGAAGATGAAAACAGTTTAGGGTGGCCAAACACTGCCGTTAATGAAGGAAATATTGAAAAAGTAAAGAAACTTGCTCTAAAAGATCGGCGAATCAAGTTGTGGCAGATGTCTGAAGCCATAGGCATTATAGTCTATTGTAGTCTTTTCCACATGCAAAAGGTGTGCTCACGAGGAGAGTGCCAAGAGATCTTACTCCACTTGACAAGCAGCGTCGAGTCACAACTTCACCGGAGATTTGAACACTTGTGGCGATAATCCTGACGTTGTTTTCTTCCACATTGTCACTGCTGATAAAACATGGATCCGACAATACGCTCCAAAGTCAACACAACAAGAAGATTTCAATACAGTGGATTGATAAGTTATGTGGGTGTGATAAAAAGAAGAAGCAAACTGGCGAAAGGAGTCCTGTTTTTGGACGAAGATTTTGGGTGACGAAGAAATGAAGGCAGCGGTAGATGAGCATTTCGAAGGCAAAGATGGCGCATAATTTTTCACTGGATTAAAAACTCTTAATAACATAGAAAAATAGATTTTGTATACTTTTATATCAGCATTTTTAATACCCTAGGCTCAAAACTTTACAGCCGCTCCTAACAAAAAAAGATTTCGAATTTTTCAAAAACTCATCGCAAACTTTTTTGATGTTATTTACATGCTATTAAAGTATGTTATATAAGGGAAATACCACTGTTTGACCCATCATGAAATCTCTAAAGTTATACACCCAATTGACTTGAAATTCATTATAGTTACAGTGGAAAAAAAGAAAACAAAATTTGTGTTCACGCCCCTATTTTTTTATAATATAGCCCAATACTCGTGATAAAGTATACGCATAACAAGTAGATACAACAAATTAACGATTAATATATAATAAAAGCCCAATTCTTCTATTTATATCTATATAAAATATGATGATTTTTATATTTCTTAAAATTAATTTACCCCTTGTTAACTCAACATGCAGTCTCGTAATGGACAGAATTAAAAAAAAATATCCATTTATTTAATTTTGCCAGCTTTGCGAAGCGTAAGGTTTCTTGTGACGGATACATAAGTACCTATTAAATACTTTAACGAAAGAAAATGTGAAATAATAGTTCTGTTACATAATAACGAACATTGATTGGCTTTCAAGCCGTATTGGCTGCAGAATATGCAACGCTAACGTGCGATTGCGAGCATGTTTTTGGATTGAAATCGTTTTCTAAAATTGTATAGTTCAAGTAGAATAGTACAAAACTATATAATACGTAATATAAATCGTATACGAAGAAAATGTTAGCATAACAAAAATATGATGTAGAAATTTTGTATTTTAATAAAAGTAAAAGTCGCCTACTTCATGGAATAAAATAAGATGTATAGAAAAATTGCAAGGCCGATTTCAAAGAGAATTATTAAATTTCTGTAAATCATATTATTAAATTATTTGACTATTTTCGGCAAAAAAAGCTCGCATGTCGTTTGAATGCCACTCTAGGGTTGGAATGTTGTCTCCAAATTTATAAGGGACCACCGCACCTGAAGTAATGAAAAAAGAATGACCCATTCAATAAAATAAGTGTGGAGGGACTTGTGAAGGACTGATGTGATGATTATATTGATTGAAATAATTCATCCTTGTTTTTTGTTTCATACTAGTACTATAGCTGATATTTCACACTGGTATTCTGTACAAGCGTGGTCCTTCCTCAGTCGAGCCGGTCATTCGCGCTCCCGTTAGTCATGGACATCAGCAGCAATGGACACCCGGCTGATGCGCGCTGTAACCATGCTGCAGCTGCATGGCGCTACCACGTCAAAATAGATATTTTCATTTTTGTTATCGAAATATCATCATCATCATTACAGCTTATACACTGTCCACTGCTGAACAGAGGCCTTACCATAGATTAGCTCATGGGAGTAATGTTTGCTACAGTTGCCACGCTTGGCAGGCAGGTTGGCAACAGATTTTTCATTTATTAGGTGTTATTTGTAATTTGTAATTTGTAAAACGCTGCTGCCTATCTTCTGGTTTTTTTTCCAGCGGATGATATGTAATCTACCTGTCTATGTAACGGAATCATTTAATGCAATTTTCACCAACTTGTAGACGGCAGATTAACTTAAAAATTCTTTATTGAGAATAAAGACCACCATCATACGTGCTCATTATCACCCATAATCTATAAAGAGTTTTCATAAAATGAAAGTAGCCACTGCGTCTTCTTTATTATTTTACCTACATTAGTGCTATAAACAATACGTTTATAAATTAGTAGGTGCTAAACACGTCATTCAAAGAAATAATATTTTTCCACGTACAGTCATGAAAAGTGGTTTGATACAGACAACATTACCTCGCACCTGCGATAACATCAGCAGTTCCTCATTGCGCACAAACCGATCCGAATAACCTCGTAATTTTTTTGTGAGTGGGTATAAAGCAAAGCCAAAAAAAATAAGCAGATATTGCGTCAACGGTCCTTAATAATTATAATTTACCCTCGCACGGGTAATGTTAAATCTCCCATCACTGAACTGTGCTGTAATAAATATTAATTGTGTATGTAAATGTAACAACCTGATGGTAAGTGGTTGCTGTGGCCCATAGACATCTTAATCTATCAACGGTAACGAATCCAAATGCAGATGTGTTGTCACCCCTGAGGACTAAGATGGAAGGCCTCGTTTTCAGTGAAGAAGGTCTCCGGTTCTGAACACTCATCATATGAAACACAGCAAACTTAAGCGTATGCAGATGTGTTGACATTTTGGGCTAGAACACTCATCGTCCTCCCTTTATCCCAAGTTATTTGGACGGGCGTAGCATGTCTTTCTCTTCTTTCTCCTGTTTTAGCGTCATCTCTTCACTCATTCGTTTCTTACGCATATCATCCCCAATACAGTCCATGCATCTTTTCTTATGTCTCCCTCTTCTCTTATATTCAGTCACTTTCGTAGCCCACATTTTGGGCTCGAACACTAAAACATGAACAATAAAATCTAAATTAATCTGATTACATTGTAGGATTCGAGTTCGCGCTTTCTGGAAGACTTTCTTTTGTGGCAAAATTGCTAATCATATGACGCGAGCAAGAAAAGTTAATTACAACGAGGCATTCCATCTAAGTCCGCAGGGATCGTGCGATGCGGCGTGTGGCGTTGTGGCGGTGTAAGGATATCCACTGCTCCATATCGTTCCGTGGTTGTCGCA